CTTTCTCTTTTTTTTTTTTTTTTTACTAATTTTTAGTAGCTTCCATTAGTTATACAGAGGAGGATTTCATTGTAACATTTCGATGCATTTACAATATGTTCTAATCAATTTCACTCTATTACTCTCCCTTCACTCTTTTTTTTTTCTGTATTCTTGAGCTCACTTAAAAATGTTTTAGTTGGTCAGATGCCAGTGGCTCATGCTTATATTCCTAGCCAGTCAGGAGACTGAGATCTGAAGATCATGGCTAGAAGCCAGTCAGGGCAGGAAGACATCCTAGCGACTCTTTGTCTCCAATTAGCCACCAAAAAAGCTGGAAGTAGAGTTGTGGGTCAAGTTGTAGCACACTAACCTTGAACAAAACAGCTCAGGAACAGCATCCAGGCCCTGAGTTGAATCCTCAGGACTGGCACCAAAAAAAAAAAAAAAAAAAAATGTTTTAGTTGGGTTGGGAATTAAGCTCAGTAGTAGAGCACTTGCCTAGTATGTGGAAAGATTATCATACTTTTTTGGTGGTATCATGGTTACTTGTTTTTTTATTTTTCTTGGGTCCTTGTGTTAAGTAATATGCATCTGATAGAATGGTCACTTCTTCCAGATTTATAGAGTGGTTTTCATAGAGATTTTTCTCTAGATGTATCTTAGGATATTAGTTGAGTAGGGTAGTCTTTGTGTAGCAGTATAGTTTTTGTGCCGCTTTTTTTCAGCTATAGTGATTATCATCTATGCCTGTAATGTCTTGGTGGGTTTGGCTGTAGGAATTTGTTAGGTTTGTCTTTCCAGCTCTAGATGGCTGTGGAACTGGTCTTAGAAAAGGGAATCTGACTAGTAGTTATTTTTGTGTGATCATTCTGGGCCCAACCTCCTGCTAGACAGAGCTGCCTGTTCCTTTGGAGGAAGGAGTACTGTGTGAGTCAGTACTGGAGTTAGGCTCCAAAAACACCAGGGCTGAGGAACTGTGCTGGTTGGGATATGAGTGGTGACTGCCTCTTAGCAGTTTATTTCCTGGAGCAGTTACACTCTACTGTGGCACCAGTGTCAAGAAGGTGCTATACAGCAACAGATTGGGTTAGAAACAGGATGGTGGTAGTAGTGGTACACAATGTCAACTCCTTTTTCAAGGTAGTGTGAAGATATGTGAACTATAGGCACTCTCGTCTGGAGTTGCTGGGAACTGTAAGATTCTTCAACAGTGTGAACTACAGGTATCCATAGTGTTACTGAGAGCTGCTGTTTCCTACTTAACCTTTTGTTCACTTATGTCTCAATTGATATTTCTATTTAATTTCTGAAGAGGGCTCTTTACCATTTCTTCAGTTATTAGGAGACAAACAATACACACACACACACACACACACACACACAAACAATACACACACACACATACACTCCCTGATCTAAAAATTGACATGAATTGAGTTTAAGTGAATTTTTCTACAAATCAAAAATATGCTTTTCTTAAATTATTAATTGGTTTCCAAATATCTTTCCTTCTAATAATTGTAGTTCTAAACTAAAGATGGAAGTATTAGAATTATTTCATATAGTGTATCAAACAATACTGGTTGCTTTGTAGTCATTGCAGAAAGTCAACTTTGGGGATAGGTGTGAGTAAATATCCTCTAAATGGCTTAAAAAAGCAAGAAAATGAGATAAGCCACAAAAATAGTACCATCCAAAGGTATTGCTGAAAGGACAGTATTTTTCTTCAGTTGATATTGACATTAAAAAGTGTCTCCCAAGTACAAAGATGTCAGGTATTTTATTTTCAACAAAGCATAATTGGAATGTTGTAAGTATAAATAAAGCAAAAATAATGATGCTTCTGCCTCCAAATACTTCCTGCTGATTATTTCAGTTTCCTGAGAGATGAGAATGCTCTAGATATTAAGTATAGACATATTCCACCAAATTAGAAGCTATAATTCTCTCTGTAAGTTAAATTAATATTTGGTTTATCAGGTAATCTCTTGAGTCTGAATAGCATGACTAGGTCTCTGATCTTTTGGATCAGTTGACAAATTTGTGCTCATAAAGCTGAGATCCATATCCCTTATTTTTGAAACCATTGGCACAATTTGATAAGTAGCTAGCCAATTTGACAGATAATCTGAATTTCCATAGGTGAAAGAGTACAATGTGTAATCTTAAGCAGGATTAAAAATAGGTATAATATTTTATCTTGGTGTTAAGTGTTTGTGGAGCATTTGAAGGACTGGTGATAACCCTGAAGGATAATGCACTTACATGTCATAATGTAAAATTATGAGATTCATTATTTAAAAATAATGAAAATTTAAGAATAAACTAGCTTACTTAATGCCTTAATTAACAACAAAGAAGTGTAGAGGTGGAGATCACATACTAATCTAAATTCAGTGTAGTCATAAAATACATTCAGTCACTGTGCTTTTAATCAAGTCTTTAAATGGGTTATCCATGTTCCTCAGTTAATGACTAATTCAAGGTAGAAATTGTTTTATTTTTTTTTCTTTTGTTCTTATTGATGTCTTAATTCAGTTGATTTGGAAAATTTCAGGACAGCCAAAGTCTCTCAGGGACCATGTAAGTATATCTTGAAACAATGTAGATTACATACTCAACTGACTTAGTCAGCAGAACATGAAACTAATCATCTTTAGGCTTTAGCGTCTTAGTTTTGTTGTCATCAGGGGAAAAATACAAGTTAGACTGGAATATGAGCTGTTAGTCATAATATCTACGCTCTGGTAACCAGTTCTGGCTTGAACTAGCTGTGGAACTTTGGACATCTTTTCAGTGTATCTGAACTCCACAATTTCTTTTTTTCTGTAAAGTGAAGGAACTTTATACTTATCTAAAATTCCTTTCAAATACCAGAATTCTATGACTTCTTCTAGAAAAGTCATCTCAAAGAGAACCAGCAAAAACCCAGGCGAGAGGCATAGCTAAAGTGGTAGAGCTTCAGTCAGTTCGACAAGCATGAAACCCTAAGTTCAAACCCTGTGTGCATAAACAGCAATAATAATTGAAAAACAATAAGCCCCCTGTACATCACCTTTTTTAAAAGTTGTACATACTAAAAAAATTTTAAAGCCTTTAAAATATGTGCTTAAAGACAAACTGACCTTGGGGGTTGGGAAAGATTGGCTTTGCCTATTACTAGAAAAGGATTTCTATTTAGTTTTGTATAGCTGTGACAAAATACCTCAGAGAACAACTTAAAAGAGAATTATGTTGGATCACAGTTTGAAATGTTCAGTGTAGTTGCTTGGGTCCCTGTACTTAGGCAGAACATGGACATGGAAGTGTGACAGGGGAGACTTTTTGTTTTCTCATGAACAAGAAGCAGCGAGGGAACAGAGACCAGGCATAACCTTCAAAGGCATACCCCCTGTGATCTCTTTCCTCTAGCTTCATAACCAAGCTACTACCACCAGCTAGAGACCCAAGTTGTTTTTTTTCAACAAATGAGCCTGCCTAGGACATTTTCTCCAAACTGTAACGGATACATATGCGCTATGGAATGTTCTTTGACATGGGATAGGAAAGAACTGCCAAGCTAATCACAGTAAATGAAAAGATCTGAAGATCTTAGTAACTACAAATAATCCACAAGATGAGCATCAAGAGACCTGATACTTGGCAATTAACTCTCTGTGGCCTTTTTACAGTATCATTTAACTGAGCTGTTATTTCTTAGACACTGTGTTAGCTGGTAAAAATGAAATGAACAAGACATTGTCATGTGCATTAAAGAGCTCACCACCTGGTGAAAAAGACAGCTGAGTAAAAGTAATGGCAATATACTAGTGCTATGATAGAAGACAACTGAGAACAATGATTCTCAAACCCGACTACACATTAAAATTTCCAAGGAATCTTTTGTTTTTCAGATTACAGATATTTTTTCCTTATACAGAGAGATCATAATGTAAATCAGGTCGGATGGCACAGTGAAATGCTATCTTTCAAAAATCCACAAAGAATGCTAACATACACTGAGGATTGAGAATCACTGGGATAGAAAAAAATACCAAACTTAGTCTTTAAGGATGATCTTAAGAAGAGTCTTTCAGCTTTGGGTATGGGGATAATGGCTCTCACCGTATGTTGGGAACTGTAAATTGTTCCATAGAATGTAGAATGTATGATTTGAGGGGAAAAGTGAAGGATAAGCTGGAAGGAAGGCAGGGGGCAGACCATTTATGGCCTATGAAGGAGTAAAGTCAGTGAGAAACCAGTAGGGAAGTGACATGACCTCATTTCTCTTTTAGAAAAGATAGCTTTAGTGGTACCATGAAAGATGGATTAGAGGTCCTAGAAGCAGGAGAACTAATTATAAAGCAGTGGTAAGAAAGAGGACTTGAACTAAAACAGAGGGGTGGGAGATAGTCAAGGAATAGCAGGTGCTAGTGATTATACCTGTAGTCTTAACTACTCAGGTGACTGAGATCTAATGAATAGGCTCAAAGCCAGCCCAGATTTTTTTTTTAAGTCTTGATATTCCATCTCCAAAAACAATATCAAAATGTCAGGCTTGAGTCATGGCTCAAGTGGTAGCCATGAGCAAGAAAGCCAAGCAAGAGGAAAAAGTCCTTAAGTACTGATGCATGTACACACACACACACACATACACACACACACATTTCAATAAATAAAGAGAATAAGTAGAGCAATTGAATGTGGTTGTGGTTGGTAGGAAAGTAAGAGCAGTCTAGGGAATATAATTTTTTCTTTTTTTATCTAATGCTTATCTGCCAGCACTATATCTTCTTAAGGTTAAATCCAAGAAAGAGAACTCTTTTCTGTGGATTTAACTATATACAATGTGATTTAAATCGTCAGATCCAAAAGTGATCAAAATAATCAGAAGCTGTTTACCATTGACTAAATTCCTGATATGCCTAAGGCCACACATTTAATGTTTCTACCCAGATTGGTGGTAGGAGAGAGGAAAAACAGCACTGAAAACAAAGGTTTGGGAGATTTTAATTAACACAAATGACTGTGCTTTGTCTTTAAATCAGTCCAAAGCAAATTGAATGAGAGCTTTCTAATCCTTCAGAGCTTCTTCTGGCAGTGACCTCAGAATAAAGAGCCTCTCTCCTACATCATCAGACTGAGTTTCTGTAGCTTCTTGTTGTTCTATGTAGGTCTTTGATCCCATAATTCTCTAAAATGGGAGAAAAAAGAAAGTGAAAAAGAAAAAGGTGAAACGTTGCATGTCCTAATACTCATTTTTAAAATAGCTTAAAAATAATACATTAGAATTCATGTTAACAAATGCATTGCAGCATAGTCGGGAGTGCTGCAGCTCAGTGGCAGAATGCTTTCCTAGTATGCTTAAGACCCTGGGTTCCATCACTAAAACTGAAGGAATTAATTAATATGGTGGTTTTTTGTTTTTGTTTTTTTTTTTTAAATAAGTTGTTCTTACCACATTGGGTTCATTTTTTTCAGTAGTTGCTCTGCCCTTGTTTGTGTTACCCATAGTACCTAGTGGAAAACATTTGAAAAATAAAAGCCGCTTTTGAAAGAAAACACTAACTTTGAGATTACCAAAAACAATACACAACAAGGCTATTAACATCACACTGTTTTCAAATATTTAGCACTGACTGATATTAGCATTAATATGAAATTACTAATTGTTGCTTTAAAAAATAACTTCATCTGTTGAAAGCTCATGTCCCATAGAAAGAAAAATCATTTGAAGATTATATGCTAGTTAAAACAATATTGACAGTCTACAAAATGTTCTAAAACATTTAAATGAAAAAGAATAATAAATCATGTACACATTTACACATATTCAGATAACACAGACAAATTCCATACATGTGAGAACAAAAGATAAAGGTGCAGTGAGGGAAGAGAAAAAGGAGCAAAAGGAATTAAGGTTCATACTGAGGGGAGAGGCATTAGAGGGAGAAAGAGGGCAAACAATGGTTGCTACATAGGTCCAGTAATGAGTCTTTCCTACCTTGGGGCCCTAAAAGTAAGTACACTTATAAATATGACAACCCTATACTGTTCCTCTTCTAAGTGTGTGATACAAGCAAGTTGAATCTCTTGTCACTCATTAATGAGGGGAAGTTTGATTATTTAATCTTCAAATTTTAATTTCAGTGGAAGTGGATTTTATTCTTGTCTATCCCTAGACTTTTGCAAGTGTTTATGGGAAGCAAAATGTTAACCTAGCTTGGAAATTAGCTTCATTACCTACTGATACCATAAATCTTCCATATGGAAAAGGTTCAGATTGTCTCAAAGCTTAAAAATGCCTATAATTGAGAGCAATACTACTTATCAAGTACCCAGATTTGAGCTTTTTGTGATTTTCCTCCCCTGCTTTTCAGCATTTTAACTCAACACTACTATTTTCCCTTCAGCCACACCTGCTGAAGTATATTTCAGCCATAAGAGAAACGAATATTAAAAAGAAGTAAAGCTTAAAGGTAAGAAGAGTGACTTGCTTTCTGAACAGAAGGTTATGGAGTAAGTAAAGTCTCAAGAGTGTTAATTTCCCATCTCACTGGGCTTTTGTCTGAATGTAGCACAATGTCCACATCTAACCTTCAGTTTCTTCACAAAAGAGAACTTTCCATTTCTCTTCAAATAGCTTATGGAAATATTGAGTTGAGAGTGGGTAAGAAAACAGTAGGGTTGTCACAATCAAATATTTTATTTCAAGCTATATTCTCACTGAAGATAAATCTCTTTAAACAACAGCAGGTATGATGAGTGTAATTCAGCTGAATTTAGAAATTGCTTACTGCCTCTGTTCTTTAAGATAGGTGGCTGTCAAGGGCCACAAATTGCTCTCTTGATGCTGAAAAAGTCAGGGAAGACTCCCATTCATCCTAGATGAAATTATAATTTTACAGTGGTTGGGAAAGTAAATCCTCCAAACATGACCTGTCTCTGAAGAGAACAAAAGGGGAAAACTTGGGTGTTTATATCCAAGTTGTAAACAAGAAAAAAAAGCGCTACATTCTAGTCTCAAGGAAATTTTGAGTAGGGATTGTGTAAGTATAACAAAGGCACTAATATTTGCCAACCAAATAAATCACACTACTTCATCTCAGCGAATCAGCACACTGGACAGGGAGGAGAGATTTTTGGCACTGGACAGAGAGGAGAGATTTTTGGCAAAGAGCCCTGGAGCAAAACCTCTCTTTACTAGAAAATGGTCTAGAACAGAAGGGCATGTACCCTGGCTTGCTGTTAGTTGTTTACTAACTGACATTTCACTCTTTCTTTAAGACAGGTTTATACAACAATTCTTTTGAAGCTAGAAGAAAAGGAACACAGAAACACTATTAAGTACTTAACCTTGGAATTGTCCGGCTCTTTTAACGTCAGTCTCCTAATCACCTCGTTTATTGGTGGTAGAGAAAAATAGTATTAGACAAGAACTGTAGAGAAAGGGGCAGTGACTTCTTTTTCCACCAGCTTTAGTGGAAAGTAGGAGAAAAATGAGGAAATGGGTAACAAGTTTGACAAGGAACGAACTTACTTATGTAACTGTAACCCCTCTGTAGATCACCATGACAATAAAAAACTTAAAATAAAAATTTTAAAAACCTTTTTAATGAAAAGAACTACAATTCAGAGAGTAGAATAATAAGAATCATGCAGTAGACTTTAATGTGATTTAATGAAGGATCTGTAATGCATCGTGGTGCACAAAATAGCAGTAAATTGTGATTTTTTTTATTTTGTATGTAAGTATGGCACATTTTGTCCTAAGGGTAATAACCAATCTTTCATACCATTTGAGGGTTCCTAAATTACCACTATTTGTGCTGAATTTGGAGCATGGATGTGGTTGGTGCCACCTACTGGACTCAATGAAAAATCACAAATCATTCAATTAATTTGTAACCATGTTTTCTCTCTTATCGAAGGTTACTTAGGGAATATGACTCTTCATTGGGATGATACTTAAAACAAGTTTTCGTTCAAATCATAGTTTTTAGTAATGGAAGAAGCATAAAAACATCACACTTTATCGCTGCCATTTTATTGGACAATCTATAAGCTAAGCTTTGACAATGGAGTCAGAAATCTTTCCTGAGTTTATTTTTTATTCTATGATTCCTATCCCATAGGGTCCTTTTAAGAGGTCACTCAGAGAAATTTTCAGCATTCTCTATAATATTTTATGTTATAATAAGAAAAACCTGAAACCAAATGAACCAAATCATGTTCACCACTAGATTTCAGAGTAATCATGTATCTATCTGACTCTAAATCCAGTGCTTTTCCAATGAAATTGCAACTTCTCAAAATTTGGTCATGAAAGAATTTTAGGAAACAGGGATAGATTTAGGATGTCCTTGAACACAGTATTAAGTACTATAAAACCTAAAAAGAAATCACTCCCTTTTTAAGTGCTTTAAAACTTGATGGTATCCATGGAGAAAGTCAATGTTTATTTTGTTTTTTTAATTACCTATGTCTTGTTTGGTTTTCATGCTACTGGGGCTTAAACATGAGCTTGGAGCAGGTATTTTATCACTTAAGCCTTGCCTCCAGTCCACCTTTGTCTTGTTAATCTTACATTTCAACAGCGATAAAAGAAAGTTCAGACTTGAGCATCTCATAAGAATTGTAAAATTTTGATTTCATCCATTTTTTATTTAGTTTACTTATATTCTGGGAAAATATTGGTTCTTTATTCAATAGCATACATTTTACTTTTAAGAAATACATTATGAGAAAAGTCAATTTAAACAGGAGATATTAAACAAGAAGCCAGATGATAAAGTTAGGAAACTGAGTACCCTTCAATACTTTCTATATCACTGTTGATGCTTATCTCCAAAAAAGATAAATCTCAGCCAGGTGCTTGTGGCTCACAACTGTAATCCTTGCTACTCAGGAGGCTGAGATCTGAGGATCACAGTTCAAAGCCAGCACGGGCAGGAAAGTCCATGAGACTCTTCAATAAACCACCAGAAAACCAGAAATGGCACTGTGACTCAAGTGGTACAGTGCTTGCCTTGAGCTGAAGAGCTCAGGGATAGCACCCAGATCCAGAGTTCAAGCCCCATGATTGACAAAAAGAAAGAGAAAAAAAAGATAAATCTCAAAATTCTTCCATTTAACATATGTCTTATTTTCAATAATCAAACGCTAGGGCTCTGTTAGATTTTGGACCCATTTGAGCTTAAACAAATCCAAAGATTTTTAATATGTATGTTCCAAAAGATAACTAGCTCAATGAATGTGCACACTCAATAAAACATAAGACAAATGGGTCATTCATGCCTGTAGCTACATTAATTTGTGACAGTGTAGCACCCTATCACTTAATTCTCCAGGAGCATAAAAGGAGAGAAGGGAGGGGAGTGTGTTGATATATGTGTTGTCCCAACTCCAAGTGATTCAGTATTCTGCTGATGGCAAATCTGTTGAGGAATTCAAATTGAATGGAAACTTTGGTTATATATTAATCTGAGCTTGCCTGAAATCTTGAGTAAATAAAACTTTTGAATCTTTATTCTCTGAATCTCTAGATATAACCTTGGGCTAACTTTGAATGAGACTATATTCTATCATTTAAATTTGTAACCTAAGAACTTTATACTACCTCTGGTTGCATTCCAAGTTATATCCAACTTCCTGATGTCTAATCCTTCTCAAAACATAAGTTGAAAGAAAAATATGTATGGAACTCTGACTAAAGGATAAGTAGATGGTTTTCTAGATTTTCTAAATTGTACCTGTTCATTAAGGCATAATACTATGTATCTGGAACAAAGTATCTTAGTTAGTCTATCTCTTTAATTTTGTTTTGTCAAATTAATACTGTGTCATTATATGGTGCCAAGGAACAGATAAGAAAAAGACTAGAATATTTAGATTCTGAATTTGTTTTTAATAGCATTGATGGAAATACTTTTATCATCACATAGTCCTACAATTACTATGAAGTCCTAGAGGAGAAATTTTGCTTAGGTTTTAGTACCAGGAAGAGCTTGTTTCTCTAGAGCAATCATCACTACCTTGTGTACACTGCAAATCTATGTTTCCTTTTACTGGAAATTCAGAATGAAATGTATAGCCTACCTCTACCAACCAGAGTATTATCATGTATATTACCTAGTTTCAATTTATTTTCCCTTTCCATTGACTTTCTCAACTATTTAATCTCCCATACTGTGTGTGAGTGTTCCAAGTCATTCAAGCCATTTTTGGAGTAGAAACATACATACTGACACTCATAGGTCATTGACACCCTTGGCTATAATTTCCCATGCATGTCCCTTTTCAAGCAGAGTTTAGATCCATAGATACATGAACATTTAAGAATCTTTTCCCTGATTCTCAGTCCATTACTTTATTATATTTTTAATGGAACACTATGTGATTTCCTGTGATGATACCATAAAGTCTAAGGGAAATCACTGGATTTCCCAGAGGAACATCTGAAACTCAAAACCATCATCTAATGTCTATTTCCTTGGACTTCAGCCCTGAAGCAAAGGAGTCTATTTCAATAAGATTCAGGAGAACAAACAACTATAACTTCTAGGAAAGGGGAAAAGGTGAGAAAGAAGCTAATACTTTCTGAGTGTCATCTGTGTTAGTATTTATATATACTACTTCATCTTTACAAAGGACATTTTAATTTCACCAGAGAGAATCCTTACCTTGGTAGAAGAGCTTCTGAGTGATATTAATAATGATGATAGTGAAAATATGTATTATTATACTACTAAATATAACTTATTGTGGGCTAGGCTTTATGATGCTCACATTATAAGTAATGAAATCTCTAATGTTAATGAACAAAATAAAACCTCAGACTGTGAACCTATGTTATTTTTCCTACCTTGGGACCTCGGAAGATTTAAAAATGCTTGCTTTGGCTCAAAATTCTGCTGTAAGTACAGTGATAATTTCAGGTCATTGGCCTTCTGGTAGTTCTTCAAGGCTTCGATTCTCAGCTCAATCACTTTGCCATGAAAGTCATTCTAAAAGAGGATATTTTTCAAAATTCCTCATATAATGTTGGCCTCCCTAAATCCACGGTTACCTAAATGTTCTTTATCCAGAAATTTAAAAATAATGTCCCCAGTCTTTTAAAATTGAACAGTTGTTATTTTCCCTTTATGTCACATGGAAAAAAAAATCAAGAAAAGGAAGAAATGGTATTTATTCCAAGTTACTTGATGTAAAATATAGATAGGTCACTCTAGCATCTCCTCATGATGCATTTCTTTTTGTGGTTTATAAAATTTTATATTGGTCGAATAAAAAATGTACGATGTGCCTCTAGACATCTTTATCTCAGCAATATCTTTTTTGCTATTTCTTGATAAATTGTGCAAAAGGGGTTCATTGTGATATTTCCAAACATATATGTATATAATGGACTTTGATCAAATTTATACTTATATTACTTTTAACCCCTTTCCACCACCACCCCTTTTGGGGCAGTTTTTAGTTGGTTTCATTTTCTTTTCATGTATATATAAAATGTACTCAGATCACATGTCCCACCTACTACCACCCTATCCTTTACTCTCTCCCCCTTTGACTATCATTTTTTTTAAAGCAGGACAATTGGTAACCCATGATAAGGGAACAGGGCTTAACATATGAAGCTAAAGCCTTTATATTGTATGAATGAAATGCATCCCATGTTTAGCCTTGGAAAATCCTAGTACCTGAAAGATGTTGGCTTGTTCCTGGTACCTGACCCATTCCATCTTCCTCTGTTGCTTTTCCTGGTGGAAGAAAGAGCCTCTGGGTGACAAAGTAAATCAAAATAAAAAAATCAGTTTTCTCAATATGCTACAATTACCTTATAGCAAAATTATGGTGTCATAGATTCTCTATTAAGTTGATTTCAACCATACAAGCCTCTGTAATTGCTTCCTTTGTATAATCCACTCTTTAAAAGCTAAAGGATAATTGATAGATCATTTTCTGTGAAAGAATTGGTAATGGGAAGATGAGATGCAAATGTGACACCTTCAAATAAATTTTCCAAGGCAAATGAACAAATGTTCTGACATCCCATAGCTATTGTGGAGTTGTCAATGCTGGCATAATTTTTCTCACTTTGTGATACATAACACAATTTGTACTGTGAGTTCCCAGAAACTTTGTGATACCACTCTGATTCAGTTACTTTGGGAGTACCATACTGCTTATAAAAATCTACTTTGGTTTGGGGGCACACCATAACTTAGGAAGATTCCTACTACCTTATTATCTCCAAAGGCTACTACTGTTCAGAATGATTGATTGTACTACCTTCTTTTTCTCTTTCAGTTGCTCTGCAACTGATATCTCCAGTTCACTTTTGGGTTGCATAACTGAGGGGAATGTGGGAACCTGTGATGAAGGGAAAGAGCTAAAGGAATAGAAGGTCCTAGAAAAAAGTGCAATGTCTTGGCCAACCATAAATTCAGTATACCCTAAGCCCTGGTCCTAATTATCTTACTAGCAAAATATCATTAGGTTATTTCCAGTGGTGTGACATCAACAATCATAAAATTCTAAGTACATGTAGTCTACTTGCCTTTCTGTCCTGCAGATCTGCCTTAGGTTTTATCTGTGCTGCGTTTTGTTGATCATGAACCTCTTCTGTCTCGAATGTCTGTGGATGGACATTTGGGCAAAACTTTTCGTGAGAATGGGGAGAAAGTGGAAAACCAGCATAATCATCTTGCCAGTGTCAGCAACTTCTTGAGGCCCAAAATGGAAGTTGTCCTACCTACCAAAGGGAATTCAGAATGTAATAAGCTCTTCCATTTTGTCCAATAAGTTTACCTTACAATTACAAAAGCTGTTAATCAAACTGAATTAAAATGGCAATCACTACACTAAGCTACTTCACTATATTACTTAAACTACCTTATTGCTTTTTGATACTTCTTTAGTCCATATAACTCTTTGACCACTTTTTTATTTCCATTTTATAGATGAGAAAACTGAGGTTAAGCTATTTGTTTATTGTCACACAGCTAGGAACATACCAAGCTAGAGATAGAATCAGATCTTTCTGATTCTGAAGTCTGTTTTCTTAGCCACTAGGTATGTTATTTTTCTCCAGTTCTTCCTTAGGAAAGTTGATCACAAGCTAATGTGTATGGATATCTCTTATAAAAAGTATTTTTAGAACTCTGGTGAAGTTGGATTTTTATAGAGGAATTGTGCTGGCACATTTCCTATCACAAAGACTTAAGAACATGGGATGTAAATCTTCTGACAATCATTGGATTGTCTTATGGCTGGTGCTGAGAACTAGGAGCAGATTTTAGTATAAGATACAGAGCTTTCAGGTGTCCTGATTATTTGTGAAAAAATGAGATGAAAAAAAGCAGTCAGACATCATACCACCAAAATGTTTATATCACAGGACACAATTCGCTATTCTAGATGCATAGTATAAAAAAGCACTCAGATTCCAAGGACTGGTCCCTCAAGGACTTTCTTCTCCTTGTTTCTGCAAAAGGCCATACTATTGTTATCTTAAACAGTTCTCTGATTGTTATAAAAGCATGGGGGTATTCAGTTAGGTATTCGTTTGTTTATTCATTCAGCTTACTCAGTTATTGTCTACTGTGTTCCAAGTATTGTGATGGGTGTTAGCAATTCAGACAAAGCAGTCAAGGTACTGGAAAAAGTTATACCCAAAAAGGGAGAAAAAGGATAAGAAATGAGTAATAAAAATAACATAATAAAATTACAAGTTTATATCATAAAGTGCCATGAAAGACCTGCACAGAGGTAGGTAGTACAAAGTGGGGGAGGGTACTGTATTTTACATAGTACAAACAAGGAGGGCTTCTCTGAAGGGGTATTTCACCTGAGACTTGAAGGATAAGAATGAACCAAACGGCTGAGGGCTGATGGCTCATGCCTATAATCCTAGTTATTCAGAAGGCAGAGGTCTGAGGATTGTGGTTCAAAGTCAGCCCAGCGTGCGCACATGCACACACACACACACACACACATCCGTACACACAAAGTATAAAGCAAGAACAATAAAAATAACATTATAGACAGGAAGTAAATCCAAGTTTAGAAATAGGAAAAAACTTGCCATTTTGAGAAACCATAGAGAAGCCAGATTATGCCGCAATAAGAATGTTGTGTTTTTGTTCTGATTATCTGTGCTTTTGATGATTCTGGGGTTTGAATTTAAGGCCTTGTATTTGTTAGCCAGGCATTCTAACATTTGAGTCATACTCCTTATCCATATATCAGTTATCAGAAGAATGTTATATTTTTATTGTTTAAAAATGAATACTTTGCTATACAAAGAATGGATTAGAATGAAATATGAGTGGAAGTATGAAGATGAAAATAAATGAGGATATGGGACCAGAGGAATTGGAAGTTCTTTCCATTATTATCTGCAACAATACTTTCAAGAGATCCTTAGAGACACACCTTGTTCCATAGCATCTCCATTTCCTTCCGAAGCATCTTGTTTTTCCTTTCCTATTGGAGGGGGAGAAACCAAACAAACAGAGACATGTGTTTGTCCAGCCATTAAAGTAATACTGGAAGAAATTACTAAGTTAATGATGGGAAAGGGGTCCAGGGACATAGCAAACTACACAGGAAGGCAGGGAATCCGGGAACATGAATGATGAGTTTGATGATAATGATGGTTAAAGAAATATTATTTCAAGGAATAACTTTGTGGTGGCTATGAGATAATATCAATAGAAATTAGCTTTTAACACAAGATGTTATCATAAAACAATTTCTCTGGGACTTAGATCTTTTATAGGTATTCCCTATTTAAAAATATGAATGTTTAATATGTTTATATTCATTAGCCTCTAGAAAAAGTCAAAAAATAATCTTGCCAGTCTGTATTTTCCATTCCATCTGACTCCCTTTGCTTCACCATGTATTTTCTAGATGGAAGGAATATGAGTAGTGGTGCACTAGATGCTAGAGATGAGCACTCTTCTCCCCCCGCCCCCACCCCCATATCTGACAGCAGCAGTAGAATTGAGTCTGTTCAGAAAGCTGTTCCCTGGTGAAGCCACAAACATCTTACCAGGTTCTGTTTCATCTCCTCTGCCTCCTTAATGAGCTCCATGACTGAGGATTCATCGCATCCCTTCCCTGTCATGATCTGCCTCATGATCTGCAGACTAGAAGAAGAGATATCTACATCATAAATCATACATGCTTCCTATAAGGAAGCCATGAAGTACTCTGCTATAGAAGTTAGGTTAGTATTGAAATATTGGAAATTATGGAAGTTCTTTTGTTGTAAGGTAAATCTCAGTCATGAGAAACCAAGAAGGCACATTTTGAGAGGTCAAATTGGGAGTCTTTATTGGAGAGCTGGCCACTGTAGGCAGACTTGTCACAAAGACCTACAAGCCCCTCAAATACACTGTCCGAAAACTTAGTCATGAGAGCAGCAGAGAAAAGAAAGAGCAGAGAAACAATACCAACAAACCAGATCAACCCCAATAAAGAGCTGAAGTGAGATGTCATGGTAACTGGAAAAGAGCCAGGAGAACACAAGGCCTGAGCTGGTCTGCCCCTAAATAGTGTCAGGGTGCAGAATCACAGGAAACTCAAGACTCTCCCAAGTTCAAGACACAGGACTGACAGGTCCAGTAACCTATCATCCAAGTCTCTGCCCCTGCCTCTAGGAATTCAGGCATACCCACCACCTGGGGGGTAGGACTTCACTTTCCTCCACCATGAAGACAAGATGGCTCCAATTAAACCCAATTCCCTATCCACCATGTGGCCAAGATGGCCCCAGCTAGACCCAGTCTCCCCATTTCATTTTGACATAGTAAGTCCCTATAACTAGAATGATATAATTTCTATTTTGTCATTTTTCTTAGTCATGTACTCAGTAGTAAGTTCTGAGTTCTTTAATGCTGAAACATATTTTCCACAGCCAATAAGATTTGGTTCCATCTCCCTCAAAAGAATGTTTTGGCATTTGACTTTTTGGAGGAAAGAGTCCTTCTGTCCCTGTAAAGAAGGGTTCTGAAAAGTCTGTTTTTATGATGAATCTCAGAGTTATACCTGACAACTCATTCCTGCCTTATCTCTGTCTACCTCCTGCTATCCCCTTCAGTTTCCAAATGTCTTCAGGTATTTGACCTTGTTGGAGAAACTACTTACATCCTTGGTAGCCCCAAAGAATGCAAGCCATTGGAGAATATGCATTAGTATCAAAGCTTTGACTGTGAGAGAGAATATTATTTTAATAGTTTGGACCTATTCATGGATTTATATTTCTTTTCCTTGTCCTTTCCCCATCCCTGCCACCATGTTTAAGCAGAAAGTCAAACCTCCTTCTCCTGTTTTACTAGAAGTCTCTGTTGGCTGGCATGTAAGCAGCAAAACGTTGATCATGCATTTTTGTTTAACTTTTGTTCTTTAAAAGTCTGAGTTCCTTGAGATTCTTCTTTTTCTTTTTTGGTCGGTTGTAAGGTTTGAATTCTGGGCCTAGGCGCTATCCCTCAGCTCTTCAGCTCAAGGCCAGTGCTCTGCCACTTGAGCCACAGTGCCACTTCTGGTTTTCTGGTGGTTTATTGGAGATAAGAGTCTCATGGACTTTCTTGTCCCTGCTGGCTTTGAACCACAATCCTCAAATCTCAGCCTCTTGAGTAGCTAGGATTATAGGCATGAGCCACCAGCGCCCAGTGAGATTCTTATAACAGGTATAGAACGTAGATAATTGAAATGTGATTTTTCTCAGACCAAAAAGGAAATAGAAATTTGAGTTAATGGGTCCCAAGAATCACTGTTCTGGAAGCAAGGTTAGACCTCAGTTGCCTCGCATGTTCACAGAGGCTCTCTATGATCACTGCTTGGTATAGAAAGAGCTGAGTCATTTATCCTAAAGTGATTGTATAAGCATGAATTGTAAGCTATTAGTGTGAACTTGATAGGTCAAAACTATTAAAGAAGTTTACCTATTTCTCAGGTGGGCACCCTAGGAGGTAGAGTAACAATCTTCATGAGATGAGAGTTGGGGGTCATATTTAATTTTACTAAAAAAATAAAAGATTGTCTTCAACCTCATTTTGTGGTTATGAATTCTTTAGCTGAGTGTCCTAAACTTAAAAAGAGAAAGAAAATCAAATTCAAGCACAAATAGTATAAATAACCACTGGATTAACCATTTAACTATTAACCATTCTTTTCTGTCTCTGTGATTTTTGAATAGGATATCCTTACCTTCTTTGTTTTTCCTCCAAGTTAGACAATAATTTCTGGAGTAAAAGGTTGTTCTTATCTTCTAGGGGTTTTAGCATCTCTAGCAGTTCCTGCTTCCTTAGCTTTAAGTCTTCATTCAGTTCCTTCAAGTAGGTGTCATCTGTTTTAGAATTTCTGTGCAGACACCATAATATCTGTCTTTAGCTTGTGTTAACAAAGACCCTCCTTTCCCTCCTGGATGGTTGCCATTTGGCTTCTTTCATCAAAAGACTTACCTGTTTGAGAGCAAGTAAGATCCTGAAAGATTTGGATCACTTGTCATCTTGAAGGGAAACTTCTACTCTAACAATAAAGAAGCTTTCTTGAAAATATATGCCTTCTTTTCCCTTCTAGTTAAGACATCATTTTGTGCTGCTGTTGAAACTCCTTTTGCACTGGACTTATAGCTACAGGCTGAGGTCACAATAGCATGTGTTTTAAGTAGCACCAGTAGCAACTTGAGGACTGAAAATACTTAACTGTATTTGATCTTAACTCCATCTTGTCTTAGCTTTAACCAAATGCCAAGTCTTATTCTGGTATCATTGAATGAATAAGATAGAATGGCAACATGTCTACATAGCGGAATTCCTATTGTGTTAGAAAATGGTAACCTATCAAAAATAACTCATCAACACCATGGCAACAAACCTCTGTGGAATGCCTATCTGTTCAAAGTGCTAGATTCTGAGTGAGGAAAAGATAAAAAGACACAACACATATTTTTTGGAGCTTTAGAAGGAAGAAAAGGTGCTTCTAAAAGACATTTTAAAATAATGGAGACAAAACTGACAAAAGGGTAGGAATGTAATCTAGTAATGTAATATATGAGCCATTGTAATTATTTTCTAATCTTTAAAACTTGCTTTATTGAACTTCATGCAGCCAGGTTCCAGTGGCTCATGCCTATAATCCTAGCTATTCAGAAGGCTGAGATCTGAGGACCATGGTTTCAAGTCAGCTTGGGCAGGCAAGACCATGAAACTCTTATCTCCAGTTAATCACTAAAAAGCTGGAAATGGAGCTGTGGCTCAAATAGTAGAGTCCTAGTCAAGCACAAAAGCTCAGGGACAGTTAGCTAGGCCCTGAGTACAAGCCCCAGGACTGGCACAATCAAAAAACTTGATTTGTCATAATATCAACATAAGAGAATATTTGATATGCAACAAGACCTTTTAATTTGTAAAAGAGCATATTGTCACTGTGTCCTTCCGTAACCAGCCTTCTGGAAGGCTATAATTCCACATTCACTTCCAGTTTGTGATTTTACATCCATTGTCCTTTTTTTCTTTTTAGTTTACCACATGTCTTCTGAACTGTAAGATCTTCTATTTTCATCAATCTGAAGTGAAAGATAATCCAGAGAAATAAATATTTGTGGGGGGTCTTGACATTTAAATTTTATTATTGTTATAAAAGTGATATATGGAGAAGTTACAGTTTCATAAGTCAGGTGTTCAATACATTTCTTTTTGGATAATGTCATCCTTTCCTTTCCTTCACTCTTTCCCTGTTTTTCCCTCCCATCTTTGCCCCAGGTTGTCTAGTTCATTTTCATTAGTATCTATTGAATACCACTGCTGCATTTGTTTACCCTTCATCCCTCCATTTCTATGCCCTCTTTACCCTCCCAAAAATAAATAAATGAGCAAGACAAAAAGAAAAAAAACAACAAAAACTAAAATATTTCTTGTTTCCATTGGTGTCGTTTAAATATAAATGTAGGCAATAAGTTTAGGGGAATTCATAAGTGGAAATTGAGATGTCAATTTCAAGCCAGCAATTGGTGTTCATACTTTCAAATCCAACTACTTCTCTAGAGGCAGATATTAGAAGGATCAGATCACAATTCCATACCAGCCAGTTCATAGACTCCATCTCTACAGAAAAAGCTGTGCATAATGTTGTGTTTATCATCCTAGCTATGGTGGAAAACAAATAGGAAAATTGGGAAATAAGCCAGAAGAGGCAAAAAAGGAAAAACATCTCAAAAATAACCAATGCAAAAAGGGGCTGGAGAAGCACAACACCTATCTAACAGGAGCAAAGATCTGAGTTCAAACTCTATTACTGAAAAGAAAGCCCATTTCAAATATTGACATAATGTCCAGCCATTTTCTTAACATGTTCTCCAAAATAAAATATTTATCTTTGAGGAAACCCCAAATTGAAGCATTATAGTGAAAAACACAAGATTAAGTTAGTCAGAACTTGGTTTGGATCTCAGCTTCACTGTAAGCAGAGTGATACCTGTGAACAAGTTTCTAAATTCTCTGAGCCTTGGTTTCCACTTCTGTAAAAATATTAAGAGAAAGATAAAGAATGGTACTATTGGGCTGATAAGGTAATCCTAGCTCCTCAGGAGGCTGAGATCTGAGGATCTCCATTGGAAGCTAGCCTGGGCAGGAAAGTCTAAGAAACTCTTACCCCCAATTAACCACCAAAAAGCAGAAAATGGAGCTATAGCTTAAGTGGCAGAGTTCTAGCCTTGAGTTAAAAAAAAAAAAAAGGAACAGCACACAGGTCCTGAGTTCAAGCCCCAGGACAGGTACACACACAAACATGCATACACACACACACAGACACGTATAAAATGTAAACATAAAGCAGGGCACCAGTGGCTCACACCTATAATCCTAGCTACTCTGGAGGCTGAGATCTGAGGATCACGGTTCAAAGCCAGCCTGGGCAGGAAAGTCTGTGAGACTCTTATCTCTAATAAACCACTAGAAAACCAGAAGTGGTGCTATGGCTCAAGTGGTAGTGTGCTTGCCTTGAGCTGAAGAGTGCAGGGACAGTGCCCAAGTCCAGAGTTCAAGCCCCACAACCAACAACAACAAAAAAGTAAACATACTATGACTGCTATTGACGTTTAGTGAGTTTCTTTATGTTTATTTAATGCTCTCAATTAAGTGGTCAGATTTTACAGAGGTGATTTAAATGAAGCTAAGCTTTAGAGCCCTCATTTTCTTTCTTCCTTCCTTGCTTGCTTGCTTTCTTGCATTCTCTCTCTGTCTCTGTCTCTCTGTCTCTGTCTCTCTAATTTTTTTTTCAGTTAGGGGCTTAAACTCAGGGCCTAGGTACTATCCCTGAGCCTCTGTGCTCAAGGCTAGTACTCTACCACTTGAACCACAGCTCTACTCCCAGTTTTTGAGTGGTTAGTTGTAGATAAGAGTCTCATGGGGACTTTTCTGTCTAGGCTGGCTTTGAACTAAGATCCTCATATCTCAGCTTCCTGAGTATCTAGGATTATAGGCATGAGCTACCAATGCCTGGCTAGAGCCCTCATTTTCAAAGGCCTCTTTCAAGGGCCCTGAAATTCATTCTATACTTATGCTTTGTATTCCTTTGGGGAATTAATTATAGGTAATCAGAGTCCTATAAAATCTGTACCTGCCCTAGGTTAGATAAGGTTCATAACCTCTCCTATGTATCCTCTACAGCAAGTTAGCTTCTAGCTTTTGCCAAATCATGTATGTGTCACTTGAAAATGATAACTAGCATAATATGGCATTAAATTAGAAAAACTATAACAGATCAACCAAATTTACTTTGGTTTCCCTTAGAATATTCACCAGAAATTTAGGTTGAACATAAGTGAACAAACTCCTCATAGTTAAAGGTAGCCACTTGGCAGACTAATATTACTAACAGCATATGGTATCAAGTAGTAGAGGACAAAAGTGACATTGATCATTGAAACATAGCCTATTTAAATTTCATATTGTGACATTTGGCTGGCAGAACTATGATAGAATTTTAAAACATTTAATGGGCAGGCAGCATCCCAACTCACTTTCCTCTCTGTCCTTGATTGTTAGTGATTCCAAAAGGAGGACATTTCCTATTTCCATGTGATCTTTTCTATGGCCAATCATGAATTGTTTACGTCTTAACATTCTAATATCCAGCAGGATGCCGGTGGCTCACACCTAAAATCTTAACTACTAAGAAGGCTGAGATCTGAAGATCATAGTTTGAAGCCAGCCTGATCAGGAAAGTCCATTAGACTTTTTTTTCCCCAGTAAACTTACTGAAGCTGGAAGTAGAACTCTGGCTCAAGTGATATAGCACTCGGCTTGAGCAAAAGAAGCTCAGGGACAATACCCAGTCCCTGAATTCAAGCCCTAGGACCAACACAAAAATTAAAAAAAAGAAACATTCTAATGTCTGTCTACTACTCAGAATATGATTTCTAAGGACAATTTTTGCCTTCAAATAATATATTGAGATGTTGTAGTGGGTTTGTAAAAATGAAAAACCCTAAAGAAATAAAAATCAATAGCATTGAGAAGGGGTGGTTGATGTACAACATTAGCTGGGACAGAGAGAGAAGGGACTGCGGAGATACAGATGACCATTAGAAGTAGAAGGGAGGAAAGTCCAACACTACATGTTCCTGAAAACCCAGGAAGTTAGATTATTTGTTGACTGAACAGGTATGGTAGAAAACCCCAGGAGAGTGCTAACTTGAGCTTTTGAATTGCACCTGAGTAGTAGGAAAGAAAATCAACCAGGCAAGAATGAAAGGAGCGCCATATAGTGCTAAGGGTCAGGTGAGTTTGGAAATTGAAGATTTGTCATGCTATGAATCAGCAGTTGCACAATTTTCCTTAGCTGTAGTTGGCAAACTAGAAGCTATAGTTGAGAGAACAGATGGTCGGTTGACTCTAGGTTGAAACTTGGCAGAAGGGATAAGCAAAAGTTCAAAGGACTAAGGGGGCTGAGAGAATGAATGATGGTATCATCAAAAGGCCAATCATTGAATTGAAGATGTACAAGGGAAGAAGATTGGGGTGGCTAAGAGAGTGGAAAGCATATGGGAGTTGAGACTGAGGAGTTTCGGGGTTGAAGAACAAGGAATAATGGTCAGGGAACCTATTTCTTACAAAATACTTGTAGAGGTTCATTGCTGCTCAAACTATAGTAGCAATTTGTATTTTGTTCTGGGGTAAACTGTTTTGTTGCTTCCTGTCACTGCATAATACAGTATTCACTGAAATTCATGTGGTACCTCAAAATAGGTCTAATAACAAGTCATTCACAATAACCTCATCCAACATTATAGCATTTGGTTTAGATATCTGTTAAGAAAAGGTGTGATTGCTCTATAATTAGAAGTCTCAGAGCAATACCATTTTAGAGTTAGTTTTGCCAGCAAAAAGTCAGGTTAGTGTAATTAAGCCAGGTCTCCAAGAATAGACACAATTATTTTCATATTAAGTGTGTGTGTGGGGGGGGGACTTTTCTATCCTCTCTAGTCAAGCTATAGCAACAAACTTA